TTATTATTTCATTGATGCAACAGCAGCCGCTTATGACCGCCAGACATAAATAGATAATAACAATTAAGCATCTATATTTAGTTTTATCATACGTAAGATAATTTTATTTGTAGAAAATTACGAGAGCGCAGGTTGTAAAAAGATTTCCATGACGTGAAAAAAACAAAAAACAATCTGTTGTTGTATTCATTTGTTGAAATTGTTTCGTGGGTTACAAGTTTTAATTTTAGTAGTACTTTCAAAGTTTAACAGTAGTAGACGCCAACATTTCTTGCACGAACATGCCGGTTGGCCCTCCACGTTTTGACCACACAGAAAACACACGGCAAGTAGTAGCAACTCCACCTTTCTTCTGATGAGTATGCCCCAAACCGAATTATAACCCCCTTTCTTTCCCACACTTTCCTTATGAGGAAAAGAGTAGTGGATATGAAGGAGGAAGAGACACATAAGAAGGCGATATTTTCGCGATATTTCGATATAAACTATTCTACATTGTTATGTAACTCAGTTCAAGAATAGGAGTGATGACTGAGATGACGGATGATAGAGTTATTTGGAGGACAGAAAACCCGGAACGCCGACCCTACGGGAGTAGGATAAGGTAGAGGAGATGATTATTTTTTAGTACGGATTGGAAGTAAGGAAGAGGTAACTCTCCACACACAACTTACTGGGTTAATGTGAGACAAGAAGTATCGCGTTTAAGTTGACGTATCGGCGAAGTAGAAAAAAACAAAAGACTTAAAGAAGTATTATATTGGCTTAAGTTTCTTATTCTTTCTAAATACTTTGACAAATGTACTAAGGGTATGGATGGTGAAACAATGGCAGGCATGTTTCGAGCACGATCACAAAATCCATTGTGCTCTATAAAAAAGCGTGAATTAGTCCACGGAGTGTTACTATAATCAGAAAGTCAAAAAAATCAGCACTTAAAATACTAAACTATCAACATTTCAGCTGGATAACTGCCAGTTGTTATACAAGAATTTTGTGTAACCCTTCTATAACCTTCTCCAAAAATGTATCATTCTTTAAAAGTTCCATGACGTAATAGCAAGAGCTGTTTATTCGTACATCAGTGGAAGATAAATTTGTTAGTTTAGGTGTAAAAAAACCCAAGCCGGCCGCATCTCTATCCGCCGCGTGACATGTTCTAGAACATGCTGGTAGACATGTACTTATTATAACTTAAAAAACAACAATATTTAGTATTATGGCAATGCCAGAAAAAATTAAAATAAAACACATGGCTCTGTTGATATGAACATTATGATTTTGCGGATTCCGGGACAAAATCGAGTCGCAATCGAAGATTGCCATTTCACTACCCTGTTTTCTCCAATGCAAAGTAATTACATAAAAAGAAAAGTATTGGTAGATAGCATTTTTTTCAAAAGATGGTTCGAAAATTGGTTACCCTAACTATGCGTACAAAATATTTTCAAACCAGTTAACCGTTTAAACGAAACGTCTTTTGCAGGCGTTATAAAACCAACTTATTAATAAATATCATAGAAAATTTATTATAAAATTAGATTTCTAAGTTAAGACTTAACTAACTAAGGTTTTAGTAAATAATTACAATTAAGTTTTAATTAAACCTGATATTAATAATGATTATTTATTACTTTGTTAAGTTTAATGTGTGGACAGTTATTTACAGTTCAAGAATTAATTTGCGGACTAACCGCAATAAAATTAAACCAGAGGAACTATATCGACAGTTGCGAGAAAATTATCCCAAAGATATCGACAAATATGAGATTTTGGTGTAATTCACGTCCGGTAGGGGCGCTGCACAGATCTAATAATTAATGAAAACTTTCTCACGAATTCGTAATTTTTTTTTATAATATAAAGTGGCAAACGAGCAAGGAGCCACCTGAATCCACCGAAATGGAAAGTGACTGCTGCCCATAAACATCCGCAATTGCAGATGCGCTGCCTCCCCTTCATTGACGAAGGAGAAGCACATAAAAAAGAACATTTCCCTGTCCTATGCGTCTTCTCCACCGTCAAATCCACTTTTCCTTCCCATCCTTTGCTCCTAAGAAAAAGATGGAAAAGGAAAGGGACTAAAATTAGGCCTCCTTATAATAAGTCTAAGATCAAATTATTCACATCGTGACCTTCTGTAGCGCAAACAGGTAAACCAATATTGATGTCTGAAATTTCCTTCGTTTAGGAGTAGCCCCCTTTTATACGTAAGGGTAATTATTGCCGCTAAGTATACTCAGTTCTAACAGAGAGTTTTAATTGAAAAGTTCGTTTCTTCAGCCAAAACTTTCAAAACTGAGCATCTGTAGGGACACTACTGTTTTTTTAAACAACTAACTATAAACGGTTAATTCTTTTTATCTTAACATTTTATTACAGTCGATAATGCTTCGTTAAGCAAGTTACATGATTGTATAGTTACATCAGAACTTGTTGCAGTTTTTGCGTGAAATATGAGTTAAAAACATTCACCGTTATAAACGAACACGCTTCTATTAGAGCGTGCGCACACCTATAACAAAATTATCGCACAATTCTTGTGCAACTAAACAGTTGAATTGGCTGCGAAACAAGTGACAATCGCACAATAGTTTTGTGATAATTTACTCAAAGGGGTGCGCCAGGTCTTAGTGAGATAATAGGCAATGTTTACTGATAAATACTCGTTAATACCTTTGTATCACGTTATTTCAAATACTAATTTACTCATTTCTAACTATGAAGTACATTCCAAGATCAAAAAGCGCATTATTTAATAAAACTAGTTATTTTCTTTCAGTGAAATTGCCGCCAACTAATTTAAGAAGTTTTCTTTCAACATATCTGTCTTTAAAACTAACTCAAATAAGATTGCATTTTAACACTTACCTTTGAATGATTTAATGCATATTAAAGTGTTCTAACCTCTTGTAGTAATAAAAATGTTACCCGGTACGATAATTATGACAGATAGATTATCTTTGTTTAATCAAAATAAATTCAATGTTGTAAATAACCACAAATATTGCACTACGTCTGCACACGGCCGAATGGGACATATATCGTGGCTGCACTGCAACAAGGGTCCACTTTCACGGCCTTCGAGCGCAGTTAACTGGCTGGTATTTTGACCTGTCGTTCGAAGAAAAAACGTGATCGATTGTACATATAAAACCTCCTTGGTCCCTCACTAAGGAGTTTTTAAACTTTTTTATCTCTTATCCAATGCTCATGTGCCTTTCGCTTTCAGTTCTTTTTTCTTTTGTTTACGGTCGATGTACGATCTTCGGTTATTTTGTTCAGATATTAAGCGAGTTAGTTTAGGTATTTAAAATAAAGGCATAAATATCAATGGAATGATAATAAAACCAATTTATTTCACAATACTGCTTAATTTTATTTAAAAACAAATATTACGCCAATTTAAAACTCTTACGATCTCATAACTCAAATGTAACAAAACTTAATTTCAATTATCTTACGTTATTTGTTGCGAAAATATTGAAATGCTTTATCAGTCGATATTTCCCTGTCTTACGATACAGTGGAGTATACAATTTTTTACATTACTTCATATCTTAGCGCGAATATATTCTTAAATAAGCACTAGTTTATATCTATACTAAGTTAATATAAAAGAGGAAAACTTTGTTTGATTGTAATGGGCTCAAAAACTACTGGGTCGATTTTAAAAATTCTTTCACCGTTAGAAAGGCAATTTATATGTGAATATCATTGGCTATGTTTTTATATTTATTTTTTATTATTTTTAAAATTCACGCGGACGGTGTCGCGGGCAAAAGCTAGTCTATACAGATGTATATATAGAGGGAACATTTTCATTTTTGTATATATAGAAATAACTCAAAAACTACTGGGGCGATTTATAAATTCTTTCACCCTAAGAAAGCTTTTTTAAAAATTCATATTTGAGTACCATAGGCTATGTTTTTTAAATTTACGCGGACGAAGTCGCGAGCAACGGTTAGTTATTTATAAATTTATGAGTGACTAGCTGTTGCTTGCGACTTCGCGTGTTAAATTAAAAAATAATTAAAGACGTAGCCTATGTTTCTTACGTCGCCTTTGAATGGTGTAAGAATTTTTGAAATCGGCGCAGTGGTTTTTGAGTTATTTCAATACATACAAAAATAAGAATCTTTCCTCTTTATAATATTAGAATAGATATACGAATAAATGTAGATATCACATATCTGCGAAGCCTGCGTGTTGACACAGTCAGTTGACGCAAGGATGAACTGGCCGGGGGGTCGTGATAGCGTATATTTGTACCGACTATATTGTTCCAGGCTTTACACATCTCAAACAAAGACATTGTTTTTGCGGGAAAAACTAAAAATTGAAATGTAATTCTTACTGAACGAGTTTTTTGTTTTTGCTCGTTGAAATGTTTTGATTCGTATTTTCTTAATTATAAACAACTATATCTCGTGTCTTTGACATCGTGTTCGAATTATCCTCTGCTATTTTTTGAAGATTGGACTACTGCGCAGTATCAAAATGATTTTGTCATGTATCGACAATTATGTTTAGTTGTCCTATCTATGCTACTGTTAGTTAAAAAACTACTGAACTACTGAACCGATTTCAATGTTTCTTTCGCCCTCACAAAGCTACATTACTATTTTACAGGGTGTAGATAGTTCTGTTTCTATAAACTCTTCGTTATTTTCTAATATCCATAACTTTAAAAGTATAGTAAATAGCTAAATACAATACTTCCAACTAGTGTGGCTTATAAAATATTTTTTCCTCTCATTCTGTTATTGTTTTCAATTTTAAAATTATATTTTGAAATTGTTCTCAATCTATCAACCAAATAATGTGACTCGTCACATGTTCGACCTTCCCATACCAAGATATTGCGTTCATTAACATTTTAATAACAATTTAAGTAAAATACTTCGCTAACTATAAACGTAGCTGATGAATCTTATCACAAACCACACACGGCTTGCAATAACAAATACCTTATCACGTAGATTTATTTATAAAATTTAGTTCAAAACACTATCTTTATAACTTTTTATACGCGGGAGATTTAGAACTTATTGAAACATAATCGAAAATATACCTCTTACACTCTCTTTGAAAACTAAAACATTGTTTCGTAAACTTGTATCCGCAGTGTAAACTCAGAGTAAACGTCAATATCTAAACAAATATTATACCTCCGGGTTTCCCAGCGCGGAAGCAAATGATATTTAAACAAGAAGTATACAATACTGCAATAGATGCGTTCTATTTGTTACACAATAAATGTTAAGCAAACGTTTTGTTTATAAATAGTATAATTATGTGTTAAGATCTGTTAATTGTTCATTTGATAACATTGATTACTTTCTCACACAAATTATATAACACTGCGGTCTGTTTGTGAAACATTACATTGACCAGATCACATTTCGATTGTTAGACGCGACCACACCTTTGACTTTGTATCGCACAACGGTTTAGTCGCTTGAATACTATGTGATTATATGATTGTGCGCACTATTCGATTTTTAATTGTGCACACAGTTGAATGGGCTGCCAAGAATTGACAATCGCACAGCAGTTGTGCGATTACTTAGTCAAAGGTGGAGTGCGTGTGTGCGTCAAAGATTAACTTTAAACTTTTTAATTTGTTTCGTCTATAAAAAGTGAAACAGATTTAAAAAAAATATATAAAAAATAAATATAATAACCTATGAATTAATTTCTTTAAGTTAAAATATTGTAAAGATATGTCATTATCCTAGAGCATGTTTGAATTCATGAATAGTTTGAAGAAACTTTAACATGTCAGAATTATATATTACTAGCTGTTGCCCGCGACTCCGTCCGCGTGGTATTAGAAAACATACGAAGTATTTATATAATAAAAAGCTACGTATCCCTCGGGAACCGACATTTCTAGGGGATGAACCTTATCCCATATGTACTCCAGACTTTGTTTTATGTCTGTGCCAAATTTCAATAAGATATGTTGAACCGTTGCAGAATCATCGAGTAAACATTAAAAAACTAAATTAATGAATCCCACGGGAACCGTAAATATTCTCGGGATAAAAAGTAGCCTATGTGTTTTTCCAGACTATGTTCTATATCTGTGCCAAATTTCATAAAGATCCGTTCAGCCGTTTAGGCTACAAACGCTAACAGACATCCATCCATCCATCCATCTAAACTTTTGCATTTATAATATTAGTAAGAAGTAAGATTAGTAAGATAATTGTTGCAAACGAATTGCGGTGAAGTTAATCAATGCTAATAGTGGTCGGGATCTAAACACTTCCTATAGCAAACCCTCGCTATATCTCTATAAAAGCGCCTGCTAAATTCGAATTCAAAGTTACGACGTTGAAAATTGCTATTAAATTGATTTTAAAAAGAGTTGCCCACTTTCTAAGTTAAGAATAGAGTAATCTAATTTCGCAGTGTTCCTCCTTTATAAATGTTTAAATACACAACTGCTTATATTTCTTTATGTATAAAAATTGATGATGTAACTACATCCGACTATACAAGTAGAATACGTTATTACTGTTTCTTGGAAATTCCCTAGCAGAACACAGTTTATAAGTGTTTATAAATACGTTTTTGGACATATTATGTGTAATCTGCAATGCCGAAGTCCGAGCTAGTCGTGAAGGACAAAATGTTCTGTCCTTTTAACACTATTATCGTGAAAGTCCAGTATCTAAACGGCCAATTGTTTACAAGTTGATATTTCTGTCACAGAGTAAAATCATACGATAACAATTGAACTCTTACTGCCATTATTGAGTATAATTTGTTTGTCCGCTATCTTATACTGTGGAAAGGGAATAATATTGAGTTGGAAAGATTGTTTTATAGATGTTACGATGTTCAATAACCATGTAAATTAGATAAAACAAAAGCAGAAAGTAGGAGTAAGATATAAGTATATTGGATTCCGTAGTAGAGTACGTAGTTCCGTAGTAAATATTATTGTAAGTACAAACGCCCCGGTATGAGTAAAAGCAGGAGTTTTTTGTGCAATTCGGTAGAAAATTAATTAATCGGATTGGAACTTCAACAAAACAAATTACTATTTGTTTATTAATAGTTTTTTACAATTGTGATTATTAGTAAAGCTACTATTATTATTATAACTATTTTTATTTTTATTAGTTTTGTATACTTTTTGGTTCTGTGTAAGGATCTCTGAAAGTTAAACAGTGAAAGTTAAGAATGAAACGTCAATAAATGTCCACAAGACCAATTAACCGAATAATTATTGTTATAAATAAACAATATCTTCGAAGCAAATTACATGTAAACAGTTTAATATAATATTTTTAGTTCGACGAGATAGTTCTTCGTGGACGGGAGAACAGTTGGTGTACATTTTAAAGAAAATCGGGAAAAGTGTCATACAAAACACCGACGTGTTAAAACATTTTTTTTTGGTTATGTTGGTACTTTAATTAAGTCCAATTCAGAAAATTAATTCTAAAATTAACCAATCTTGATAATCTGGAAGTTTAGAATAGAATCCTAGAATTATAGTGCTAAAAATTATAAAGAAACGTTTATATCCTATTTTTTAATTATGTCAGATTAATTAAGATATACTGTTAAGTATATTTAATACACAGTTCATATTTTCATAGGATTTAACGAATTTACGATAACATTTTAAGCGCTTGTTACGTTATATGATACGACGGGAAAGATGGACGCTGAAAAAAGAGAACTTTCGACGTACAATTTAAAGAAAATGGAAACAGATCTTGAAGAAGGTTTAGAAGTTGCAGGTTAGTTCTATTTATACGTAAAAGATAATATGTTAAAGTAGATATTCAAATTTAGAAACATTTTTATTTGCAGGCTTTGGAAAGTACCAATATTTCCACAACACGTTAATGGTAGTTATTTTGGCAGCTTCCTTGATAGAAATGATCGGATGTTCTTTTCTTCTACCTTCCGCAGCTTGTGATTTAGACTTACCTGATAGTTTGAGAGGAGTTATGGCGTCTATACCAAATATAGGTAAATTAATGTATTTATTAAATAAAACTTACGATGTAGCTCATAAAACTTTAAAGTTGAAAAAAATTGTTTTTATGCTTGAAAAAATAATTGCTATTTTAAAATTACAGGTGTTATTCTGACTGCTCCGCTATGGGGCAGGGCGGCCGATAATCTAGGCAGAAGACCAGTTCTGTTATTGTCTACGATGTTTGCTGGTTTATTTGGATTCATTGCGTCTTTCATGCCAACATTATTGACATTTGCACTATGTAAATTAGCCGGATCTTTCTTGTAAGTTATACAAACGTAAACGATTTGTAAAATTGCTATTCTAGTATTTTTACAAATTTATTCTTTTCATTAGTTTATCGTGCCCGTCATCCCTATGCTATGCGTACGCGGGAGAGATGATACCGAGGAAGAAAAGAGACGTTACTCTGCTCATTTTCAATGCCTTGCTTATGCTATCTGCATCCCTAACTCCAAGTACGTAATAAATTAATTTATCGTTCATTTTAATTAAATCAGACGAAGATGACTAGTAATGCTGTTTACTAAACTCGATTTAGTAAACTTACTAACTAAAGTAAACTATTATTAATGTTTTATTTTGTACAGTTCTAGCTTGGACTGTGTTACCAAACGACTGGCTTAACCTAAAGCCTTGGCGTCTCC